ACTCAACAAATTCAACATAGCCCTCAGCAACAGGTTCGAGGCCTTTCATGACCTACTCAATGGAGAGGGGACTACCATGGAGAGCAACTGGAAAAGTATTAAAGAGGCAATCGTTTCAACATGTCAAGAGGTTCTGGGCCAAAAGAAGCACCATCACAAGGAATGGATCACTGTTGGTACACTGGATATGATTGAAGCAAGGAGGAACAAGAAGGCAGCAATCAATATCAGCCGAACAAGAGCGGAAAAAGCCAAGGCACAATCCGAATACACAGAGGCAAACAAGCAAGTGAAGAGGAGCATCAGAACCGACAAACGTAAACATGTTGAAGATTTAGCGATGACAGCGGAAAAGGCTGCAAGAGAGGGAAACATGAGACAATTGTATGATACAACAAAGAAAATTGCTGGAAATTACCGTAAGCCAGAAAGACCAGTGAAAAGCAAGGAAGGCAAAGTAATCACCGACATTGGAAACAACGAAACAGGTGGGTAGAACACTTCAAAGGACTCTTGAATCGATCAGCCCCACTGAACCCACTCAACATCGAAGCAGCACCCATGGACCTACCAATCGATATTGGCCCACCAACAATTGAAGGGATCAGCATGGCCATTAGACAAATCAAGAGCGGCAAAGCAGCGGGACCAGACAACATCCCGGCAGAGGCACTGAAAGCAAATGTAACATCAACTGCCAAGATACTCCACATCCTCTTCAGTAAGATTTGGGACGAAGAACAAGTACCAACAGACTGGAAAAAAGGACTTCTGATCAAAATACCAAAAAAAGGTGATCTTAGCAAGTGCGATAACTACAGGGGCATCACTCTCCTCTCAATACCAGGAAAAGTCTTCAACAGAGTATTGTTAAACAGGATGAAGGATTCCGTGGACACCCAACTTCGAGATCAACAAGCTGGATTTCGTAAGGATAGATCGTGCACAGATCAAATCGCAACTCTGCGGATCATTGTGGAACAATCAATCGAATGGAATTCATCACTCTACATCAATTTCATCGACTACGAGAAGGCATTTGATAGTGTGGACAGGACGACACTATGGAGGCTTCTTCGAAACTACGGCGTGCCTGAGAAAATAGTCAATATCATACGGAACTCCTATGATGGACTAAACTGCCAAATCGTCCACGGAGGACAACTCACCGACTCGTTTCAAGTAAAGACCGGTGTTAGGCAAGGTTGCTTACTCTCACCCTTTCTCTTTCTCCTGGTCATCGACTGGATCATGAAGACGTCAACATCTGGAGGAATGCACGGGATACAGTGGACAGGCAGGATGCAGCTTGACGATTTAGACTTCGCGGATGATCTGGCTCTTCTATCACAAACGCAACAACAAATGCAGGAGAAAACGACCAGTGTAGCAGCAGCAGTAGGTCTCAATATAAACAAAGAGAAAATCAAGACTCTTCGATACAATACAATATGCACCAATCAAATTACACTTGACGGAGAAGCTTTGGAGGATGTGGAAACCTTTACATATCTGGGCAGCATCATTGATGAACACGGTGGATCAGATGCAGATGTGAGGGCGCGGATCGGCAAAGCAAGAGCAGCATACCTACAACTGAAAAACATCTGGAGCTCAAAACAATTGTCAACCAACACCAAGGTTAGAACTTTCAATACAAATGTCAAGACAGTTCTACTGTATGGGGCGGAGACGTGGAGAAATACGAAAGCCATTATCCAGAAGATACAAGTGTTCATCAACAGCTGTCTACGCAAGATACTTCGGATCCGATGGCCAGACACTATCAGCAATGTTACTGTGGGAGAGAACAAACCAGATTCCAGCAGAGGAAGAAATCAGGAAGAAGCGCTGGAAGTGGATTGGGCACACCTTGAGGAAATCAGCTAATTGTGTCACAAGACAAGCCCTCACATGGAATCCTGAAGGTCAACGGAGAAGAGGAAGACCAAAGAACACATTACGCCGAGACAGACATGTGAAGAATGAACAAGAACTGGATAGAACTAGAAAAGAAGGCCCAGGACAGAGTGGGTTAGAGAAAGCTGGTCGGCGGCCTATGCTCCATTGGGAGTAACAGGCGTAAGTAAGAGTGGAAGCTCTTGCTGGTATAACTTTGAAGAACTGAACTAACTTTTCAACCTCAATAAGAGTTGGAGGACTTACATCAGGTTGCTTGGAGATAGTGGGTAACTGAAATGTATCTGAAGGCCAGCTGAACTGTTCCCTAAAGTGTTTCGCTCATCAACCCAATCTCCTGAATTGGGAGTGAATAATAGTCCCATCTCTTTCTAAGATAGTTTTGCTGACAGATGGATCTTTAATACCTGTTTCCTTGATTGGCCTAATGTTATAACGCTAGGGTTTCCTGTTATAACGGTCCTTTTACTTTTTACACGTATGTAGGACGTTAATTTACCTTAGACGAATATCTACACTAGATTCCCTCCTAGTGTCTATTCTATAGGACTTCAATACAAATTAGCCCGACTAGAACGTAAATATACCCGACACAATCCAACAACAAAGAACAATTGATCAATAATAATCATAAGTAATAGAGATAAGGGGATAAAACATATCTAACACCTGCCACACTATCTACATGTCTGACTAAGCAAAACAACCAATCATTATCTTCCTCGCCCATGTATCACCTGGGCAGTTGTCTAATATTACCTGTCGCTCCTGCCCTTTCCATTTCTTCTGCTTTTGCTACTCACCACCACTCACGATCATTACGTAGGCTTTTTATTAGCCTACGTCTAAGCTGCCTCTGGTTGTAATCATGTTCGGAGCTAGACAGGTTGAGTTTCCGAGCATCTGTCAGTTCATAGGCGCCGCTGAAATCCACTAGTTTTTCCGAACCTTTCGGTTTAAGTTTCCAAGAGGTATCACTGCTGTTCTCATAAATTTTTGGACACCATGTCAAGCTGCCTCAAGGTAGATATAACCTTCACGGTTGACTAACTTCTCTAGTTGTTCCCGAAATACATCCTTAACTTTCATCATTAAGTTGGACTCTAAGGGGTTTGCTTACTGTGACTTTTATACATCCAGAAAGACAAACAAATACGTGCTCGAACTAGAGCATGATCTAAGTCTAAAGAGGTGCTTCAAAATGAGCGACAGCCTTCTATCGAGTCCCCTTAACGATGCCTAATGGTAATATGGTATATTTGAGTCCATTGGTGAGTCGATTTTGGAGGTCGCCACGTCAGACGAATTTTCTCCTTATGTTTAAAGTTGGTGTTTGCCAGAAATAGACGGCTATCTGAGCGCAGTCGCAACAGACGGTCACCATTATATGTTCGCTGAGCTGCAACACTGTAAGATCCACCTAAGTGCCTTTCCGTTTGGTTTATTTTACCCACTTAAGCATCAAAATCACCCACCACTATTACTAAATCACAGCGTTTGGTTTTTTGAAGGATGTTGAATAGCTTCTTATAATATTCATCTTCTGAGCTGCAATCAATGGGAGCGTAGGCAGAAACGACGAAAAGGCAACGGAGTGTATCCCTATCTTTTCGAGTACTTAGGGTCCCGTTTAGTCGTATAGTGCACAAGAGATTGTCTATTGGAATCCAGTCTAATAGAGAACGTTTTGCTTTTGAACTTAATGCTATACCTACACTAGCAAAGTCATGGGAAGTAGCAATAAGATCTCCAGATAATCGAAGGGTAAGTCGTTCCGGTTTTTTATATTGGCAAGGTGAGGTCAAATGAATGACTGTGCTGGGATCCTGTAAGCGCGTTTCAGAGACGCAGCATACATCGATGACGCAATGTTTAAGAGTCCTAGCTAGAGAAGCCTATTGTCCTATCTGATACAACGTTCGTGAATTAAATGCTCCAACATGTAATAATAAATATGTTTTTGTTATATCCCAATTAGCAGAAAATTTGTATTTCTGACGTTTCGTGACTTGGTGTAAGCCAGGGCAAATAAATAACCGAAATTAAATTAACACAAGTTTAAATAGTATGTTTCCTTTGTACTATTTAAACTTGTATTAATTTAATTTCGGTTATTTATTTGCTCTGAAGAAGTGGCTCACACTAAGTCACGAAACGTCCTAAATACAAATTTTCTGCTAATTGGGACATAACAACAATATATTTATTATTAACTCTACCCAATACTCAATTTATTTGGAACTATCAAGTTCAACCTTGGTATTGATGCCAATAAACTCCAGCATTTACTTTAGAGCGTGGTGATAAAGATATACAAGGAGGGGTAGCTATGGGGATGGAAGAGTTAATAAGAGATGAGGGAGGGATTCGATCGTCAACAAGATGATCTCAGGTGCTGATAGAGGCATGGAGACGGTTTTTAATTCCCAGCTGCCCACACCGTGGAAGGATATTTTTTTCTTAAGGGACCTGAAAAAGAAGCTGGATTAGTGGTAGTTTTAGAGACCTGAGAGCGTGATCGCAGAGCTCAAGGGACAACTACTTGAAGCCGGTCGTACATGGCCTTTTTATGGGAAGGTTTTGACGAGTTAACTCCGAACTTACTGACGAGGACGGAAATCCGTGGGGAAAGGTGAAGTGACAATTTCAGGGTCGACTATTTCTGATCCATTCCTTCGGTCGTGAGAATGTAGCATCGCTGCAGATGCTGGTTTTCCGAGGGAAACACTTTACTGCTGTCACACCCCTCTACTGTCGGCAGTACGACTTTGTCCTCCGACCTTAAGTTGCTGTCTTAACGTTCTTTAAGCTGACATGGTAGGGCCTAAAAAACACATGATCCAGCCGAGAGAGCTCGGTTGATTCATCACGATAGGTGATCCTAACCACCACGTCAGGGTAGCAGCTACGGTCGGGATTTCTTAGTTTAAAAAGGGATATATTTAAATACTTACTGAGGTCTCAGACAAGGAATATCGTACAGGAATTTGTACCAACGCCCTTAGTGAAGAATGGAAAAAATCAAGGTATGCAAGTATTAGTTAGAAAATTAATTGGCGAAAATAATTTCAAACAATAATTCAGATACTGGTTAATGAAAGCCAATGACTTATAGCATACAATGTCCCCAGTGTTACAGGACTAGGCCCATTAGCAACTTCAGATTTGGGGCTGGCGCTGGGTGAAATAGTTGGGTTGCGACTTGATGTTGGTCCACAGATAAGTTGATTCACGGGTACTGATTGCCAATCAAGAGAATTTACTCCCCAGTACCTGAAAATATAAAAAGATCACAAGTAGTGCTTCCAGAAAACTTTTTTATTCAAAAATGGACGTTTTATTGTCATGATAAAATATTTCACAATTTATGAAAGGAAAGTATAGAGCAGTGATAAAAGACAGCAATTGTCGATTTCCAATTACCGTGACGATACACCTGTTATTTGGTGACTGAAATCCATGGTCTTCGTTATTGGAGTGCACTTCTCAAGCCCACACAAATGTGAAACAGCAAATTATAAAGTATGGTATACTGTTTGAGTTAGGTCAACTTCTTATTTAGGTAGAATAAAAACTGGTCAGTGATTCTTAGCAAGGTTCGTTCCTGAGAGATGAGGATGCCAAACCCATTCAAAACCCTACTTCTTTATCCGGGCTTGAGACCGTTAGCAACCTTAAAAGGGCATCAGCCGGGTGGCATTCCTACAATTAAAGAACATCTGGAAATTAAAACAACTATCAGCCAACACATAAGTCAGAACTTTCAATACAAACGTCAAGACAGTTCTGTTGTACAGAGTTGAAACTTGGAGAACTACAATCATCACCAAAAAGGTACAGGTGTTTATAAACAGCCGTCTACGCAAGATACTCCATATCTGTTAGTCTGGCGCCATCAGCAACAACCTAATGTGGCAAAAAAACAAATTAACTTCCAGCTGAAGAAGAAATAGGACACACATTGGGTAAATCATCAAAGTGCGCCACAAAGCATGCTCTAACTTGGAATCCTAAGGTCAAAAAGGAAAAGCGGAAGACCAAAGAACACATTGTGTCGAAAATCGAAGACAGACAGAACATCACTTGGGAACAATTGAGAAAGAGCCCAGGGCCGAGCAGGTTGGAGATGTCTGGTCGGCAGCTTATGTTTCACAAGGGATAACAGGCGTAAGTAAATAGTGATAAAAACTATACTGAAACATTCAGCGACTTTTCCTTAGATGATGAATGACAATTTCTCGGAAAATAATTTTATACAATCAACAAAAACTTCTTAATGAAAATAAATAAGTAATTCAACTTACCAAACTGCTGTTTGATCATTATCAATCTGGAAAGTGGATGGCATTGTTGCTAACTCGGGATAAACATATTCTGAATTATTGATTGTAGATTGATTTTGAAAATGTTTCTCAAATGCTTTCCAATCATCACTTAATTTATTAAGAACAGGTCTTGGGAGCCAAACAGCTGCACATACTTCATTTACTTCAAGATTAAATTGTGGTAAGTATGAGTGAACATCATCTGGATCTAAAACAGGTCTGTAAAAAATCATAAGACAGTGTTTAGCAAACGAACATAGTTTATGACTAATTAATATGGTTAGTGCCAAACTCAATATAAGACCAAGGTATTATGGAGTAAATAAACAGCTGAAAATTTTAAGGAGTGAAATTTAATAGTCACTTTTGACCTCGAAGGATTACAATAACAAACTATTGAGAGAAGTCTGTAATTTCTCCAGTTCCTGGAGAAGCTACCTTACGATGGAATAATAAGTGAAAAAAAATGACTACGGCCGACGTTTATGTTAATTTTGCATTGATCGTGGCTTTTGGTAAAAAAAATAATCAAGAATACTCCTACTATAATTGTTTAATGACTTACTCCATAAGAAAAACTAACAAATCAGGCCCGCTAATAATTAAATCTGACTTGAAACATTGAGAATATGAGACCATGAAATCCTAAGTCCTATAGGGAAACAAAATGACTAACTACGTAAATTGTTGTTGATAAATCGATAAAGAGTTGTCCATTCCGATTATCTTCAATCTGTAACATTTGTTTGGTCTTAAAATGAAGCCAAAAATTAAAATATGATCAATAAATCAACATTCAAGGATAACAAGAGAAATCAAGACAAATTATCTGGGTGGGTGCGCTGCGCGTCCCAAGCATGTTGATTGTCATGAATAACAAGGTTCAGCTATGTCTGACATTGAAAGGTGTACCTCAGAAGTAGATAAACCTTGTGAAGGCTTTTCACTCGAACATTACTGGTCGAGTCAGAACCTATGTCAAACTGTCATTTGATTTTCCAACTTCAAGTGGTGTCCGGAAAGGCTGTCCACTATCTCCATTTTTGTTTAATTGCATTTTAGACCTACTGTTGGGAATGACACTCTTATCGACTTGATTTTCAGGATGTCCACTCATCGACTTAGAATACGCAGATGATACAGTTCTATTTGGTGAAGACGCTGATAAAATGCAGAGTCTTCTGTTAAAACTGAGTAATAATGCCAGGATGTTTGGGATGCGTTTCTCCCCCTCTAAAGGTAAATTATCGCTCCAGGATTGGCCTGCGTCAACACCTGAACTAAGGATAGGGAGTGAAGTAGTTGAACACGTGGACAATTCTGCATAACTTGGAAGCCTGGCCAGCCCTAATGGGTTGGTGTCTGACGAATTCAAAAAGTTCGTTTGGCTTTTGCCAATTTACGTCACCTATGGCGAAGACAAGATATCCATCTATCAATTAAGGGACGAGTATACTGAACAGCAGTTTGCTCTGTTCTGCTTGACGGCTGCGAAACCTGGCCATTAAGAGTAGAAGATACTCGCAAGTTACTAGTATTTGACCACAGATGCATTAGAAACATTTCATGCATCAGCTGAGATCACCAGGTAAGTAATAGAGAGGTTAGACTCAGGGAATTAGAGAATGATGGTAAATCAGTTGATGACCCGATCTTCCTATTTTGGAGAAAATTTTATCCGTTTTGGGGAAGCTGCTATAGAAAATTTTGTGGATATGCCACAAAAACCCCGAAATTTCCCAGATCTGAGGAAATTTTCCAAAACGTTGGGGAAGACCATTGGAATTTGGGGAAAACGCCAAGATAGGCAGATTGGGGAGGTTGTAAATCTACATCGACTGAGGTAGTTTGACCACGTGTTACGTATGTCTGAACACCAATTATCACAACACGCAATGCTGACTAGTGTTGGAGACAGATAAAAAAAAGTTGGCGGAGGCCAAACCAAAACGTGGCACCAGTTCATAAAGTCACTAATTTATAGTCTCTGTCATGTTGGTAGATGCAGACTACTTGGTTAGGGTCCGCGCGACTATCTTAACCAGTGGTTGGATACTCTATGTGACATGGTTCAGAATCGATCACAATGGCGTAGGTGTATACACTCTTTGTTCTTCCTTAAACCGTAAGATTAAAACTACTTCATACCTTTGTTTCTACGAACTAATTCCTTCTCCCTGTATCATATCCTCATATGAAATCTTTTCCTGCTACTATTGAAGTAACTGCTTCTATGAATTCGGTGTTCATCTTGTTGTGCTAATGAGGTGTGGTAGCTTAGACTGATGCATATATGTGCCTGTTCCTACATTTTAGCTGACTGACTTTTAATTTTATTTAGTGTTAAGTTACGATATCGCGTAAGGTAGGGACACTTAAACCTTCGTATTTCATAACAGCAGTGGTTTATCTGTTCTCAACACTTGTGAAGGAACTAAGATCTAATTTGTAGTCAGATCTTGGGGACTTTTCGATTACCGAATGAACAACTCAGAGACCAAAGGTTTAAACGTAATACCAAACCAGTTGAATTTACTAACATCAACAGGATACTATGAACCTGGAAACCAAGGTTTGTATACAGGATCTAGATAGCTAGAAACCAGTCACGTTGATTTATGCACTTATAAACTAGGACAGGATCGTATGCCATAAACAAATATCAGGACCAATTTTAAACTTGGAGGAATCTTAATGAGTTCACTTAAGATGGGTTCATTATATGATAACTATTTAATACTTCAGGTCGCTTTATTTGTACAAACTATCAGATATTGCAATAACTGGTTGCCTTTCCTTTGTTCTTGGTTAAACTGTTCTTAGCGTACAAGAGAATTTGAGAATTTACACTGTATATAGCCTACTACTCGCACGTTCGATTTATAATAGGCCTTTGTGATCGATGGCAATAACGATCCCTTAGATTATTAATACGAATTGTTTTTCGAAGGTTAGTGCTCAGAATTTGGAACCTCGACTAGTCGTTTCTGTCAAAGATTTGATGTCATTTGTTGCTGATAGAAATCAAAAATCACCAAACCTATGTCAACTATCCAGAATTTGCATGGCATTCCAATACTGTGCAAGAAAGGAGTATGCACTTCAAAGTTATCTAAAATTTAAAATCATAACAGGAAAAAGCGTACGCACCTATCTGGATTGTAAACACAATGCACTATAGAAAAAAAGTTCAAATTTATAACTCTTACGTTGAAGAACGAGACCAATTAACAGAGTAATATATAACCATATGATGAGATTTAGGAGAGATAGTAGACTTTCCGATTGCTGTATCTAAACGAGAAGGATATGAAGCTTCCCATGAACAAAGTGGTTTAATAGTACATTCATTCATTACATTCTTTTCTTTTCCATAAGAATACAATCCTAACTCTTCTGTGAGTTCACGAAATGCGGTGTCCTGTGGTTAGCAACACAAATAAAGGGTTACGCCATAATTATATCACTATACAATCAGCAGCAGCACAGACAACTAATATTTTTGTTCTATCTAAAAGTGTTTTAGAATACTGTATATGAGTCATCATCCATATCGACAGGTTATTCGTGAAAATGTTATGTCATAAAATAGTCCGTATTATTATTTACGTAACCCTACTTTCTGTAGGTTAACACCAATGAACTCTAGGAAACTAAATATTTTTTGATCAATAAGAGAACTGTATCAACTATTCTGAAGTCAAGTATCTATTTTAACATCTTTCACTTGAGTGTTTGAACATTTGGTACAGACTAAATGTTGAATAGTCTTGAACAGAGCACTGAAAAGCCTCGTTATTGAAGAATATTTAGGGATCTACTAAATAAACTCCCAATATTGACTAAAAATGTTTCACAAATGCCTATTCAGAAACCCTGTGTAGTCAATGTACACACGTTTGGGGATAAAAAGTAAGTTAAAATATTCTGACACAATTGTTGGCATTCTCTAATAGGTTTTTAAGGTGAGAAATACGGTTTAAATGAGAGGTGAACTGTTGAACTGTTAATTTTTGTTAGATCTGCCCAAGTTACCACAGACTGCAATCGGGACGCGAACAAATAAATTAGTTCCTTCGACAGATCTTATAACGCTAGTTAGGAATCTAAATATGTAGGTCATGAATTCCAATACAAAAAATAACTAAACAGGGATTCGCAAGTTCAAAAGTGGATGCTTCTAAAATCAGGACTGAAGCAGATTATAAATTACTTTCTAATAGCAGCAACATTACACAAAGGATGAGAAACAGCTAACCAAGAATTCTTTGGGTTACTGAATCTAAATTAAGAATGATACAATCTCCTATACGAAGTGGATGTGCGGAGACATCTGTACAGATACTAGTGGATACAGTCGTAGAGATCCCATTCTCTAGTTGGATACCTTTTGCATAAGAAAGCTACTTTTTGAGACTAGTAGAATAAATGAATTGTGGGATATCTAGAAACCCAGTTTTTCTAAAGAACACTGCACTGAGACATTACTACATCGAGTTTTATTGAAGCAAAAATATGGTCGTTTCCTAATAAGAACTATGGCTTAACAAAAATCAGTTAAAGAAACACACCTGAATAGGTTCATTAGCTTCACAATGACCTCCAGGAGGTACCCAGACACCTGGATAAGATCGCATATGCCACGGTCTGCGAGTGAGAAACACACCATCTAGTCCAGATAAATGCAGAAGGCAGGAGCAGGCCACAGGAATCCATTTGGGACAAGATTCCCCATCTGAGTTTAGGAAGCGTCGATTAGACATAGCGAAAGGACAAACACGTGGACGCTACAAAAAACGAAACTCTCTTATCCCACAACAGTTAGTGAAAACATAAGGGAAATGAATGCAGTGAAAGTGTATCATTAACAGCCCAGTTATTACATATTGATTGAACTTTATTTTATCTAATCAAACAATTACGTGCTTACAGTTGATTTGGGACTACTTTACGTCAACTCTAAGATTGATCATAGGAAACAAATTAGTATAGTGCGTCAACCGCTTCTCTCGTGAATTTCATCAGTCATGGTAGGTAGGTGACTGACGAGATTTTGGCAAGGCCTTAGAAGGCTTATTTGGCTTTTGTGAGCTTTTGCCCAGTTAGACTAAGATATGGGGTCAGACCATGAACTCATGGACTGTTAGACTGAGCCGTGTTGGTAAAGGCACACCATATAGTTGAGGTTCGGGAGATAGCTGCGATCAGTCGTCAGACTCGGGTAACACCTTAAAACTGGTCATAACAGAGTAAATACATTGATTTATCTCTCTTCAGATCTTGAATTTTAAATTGTCGAGAAATTCACATTCCTCAAATCCATCCACTCTTCTCAAACTATATTCCATAACGCTTAGTCTTTAGTGATTCATGCGAGATTATTCTAACTTTTGGACAGACAAACTAAGATAACCTATTCGGAGTATGATGTACACAGATGTTTATCCTTGTTAATTACCCATCTACAACGTTTAATCTTGATAATGTGAGTATATCTGTTTATCGCTTACTCCATCCATTACCTATCTTAGCTTGCTTTTATGTATCTGATTATAAATGTTGAATTATCAGAATTGAGTGAGCAACGTTGTCTATCTCCGTGCTCATCCTATTTCTAGGCAAATGAATGTCTGAAATAAATCCTTACAATACATTTCGTATCCGGCTTTTATTACAACCGCTACATAATGAGGTTAGGTCAAGCACAACGTACGAAATTAAGCAGGGGATTTACGATTCAAGGTCTATTGATTGACGTCACTTATGAAGTCAACTCGATGCTACGCACTTTTTTGTCAGAAACAGTTTATTCGCAACGTTTGATTCAAAAGACACAGACAGCGCAGAAAGTATTGAGCAAGTGAATCAATAAATATTATTTAATAAGCCAATATGTATGTGTTAGATGAAGTCATTGAATGCTTTAAGCAATGTTTAAGCGGGACGGAGAGATAAGAGCCTAAACACGTATTCGATCATATATATTCACTTCTGCATGCATGCACATACAGACAAAAGTATAAGTGAATCATTGCAGATTAAAATAACGGTTTACACAAAAATTAGACTGACTCAAACGCTTAGTTCCTTTGAACATGCACAAACATTTGTATGGGAAAAGCATTATAAATCTTTCTCACTATAATTGACACTATTATCATCTTGACTCCTCTGATATTCGTCTTTTTAATTCTATCGTGGTGATATGGCACGGCGACTTTAGCTTAAGACTCCTTTTTACCAAGCTTTACATTAATCATGGCAATGTTCTTAGTAAGATTATTGGGATATGGTAACTATACGAAATGTTTAAAGTGGTTGGTCCTGTAAATTTTACTCTATTTCACTGGATTCCAACCGTTATTTGTGTCTATAGCTTGTTATTCATATCTCCTTAATTACTAGGATAGACAAGTGAATTCGCAGTTAGAATAAATCTTTGAGATACAAAATCAGCGAACGCGCCACAAAGCTATAACATTTTAAGTTAATACAATACACCTTATCCTACAGTTTCACCACACAAACGTGTGATGTTAAATCTAATAATTATTTCCCATGGTGTTTGTATTTCAGGGATTTAGGAGTAAATATAAATTGTGCTTGGAGACATTTTTCAGGTGAGAAACCAAACGAAACATGTTAAAACGTTTGGTACATGAATATATTGAGGAAACAGGAACCTCGAACTTATAAAACTTATGATAAAGTGATCGATGTAGAAACAACATATTTACTTCAGTCATATGAAAAGTCTCTGGGCCATTTTATTTAGTTTGATAGTTACAGTGTAGTAAACGAAGAATCGGGTACCATAAACCAAAACTCACAGAACCTTTGTAAAATAAGAAAATTATAGATTGAATACATCATTCTCATATCTTCCTTCAGTTGACCTTTAAACACGTTATCAGTTTTTCAATTCTGCTGTTATTCCGACTGCTCTGTTTTCCTCCCACTTTTTTTTTATTTCAATCTTCTGCTGGTATGCATCCCACTTCAAATTACTACTACATACTACTGACGTTTGTCCGCATCAGTAGTGCACACTAGAAAAGTAGGTATTTTTCTCACGAAAAAAAATAACTCCTAGAGGATGTGACGTAAATGAATCTGTGATGTTTCTTACCTACATGTAAAAACTCGATTAACAAATGGACAGAAAGATATGTACTTAGTATCAAATTGTATGATTTACCCACAGAACTATTTTGACTTGAATTCCACGGTTTTGTAAGGTTTTAGTGGATTCTATTTAGTATGAATATTTTAGACGTAAGAATGCTCAAAATCCAACACAATATTTGCAAAAGCTACTGAGAAAGACATATAATGCTTGAGACATTTAAAACATATAGTCCCGGTAGCCATTTCAGTACCATAAAGTGACTAATAACTTCAGTGATAAACTATAATCCACAAAAAAAATAGCTACTGCATGGCTTTTCGTATGCATAAATTAACAGTTTATATGTTGCAAACACCTAAACCTCTTGATTTATCTTTTTCGTTCTGACCAGTTATGACTGCAACTATTCATCATAATAACCTCGGGGCTATTTGCGTTATTGCACACATGTTCATAAAATCCAAAGAAAGATTGTTATTGGCACATTTGCTTAAACTGCTTTCTGGAAAGCGATACAGGAGTAAATTTGAGCGGTTTCAAAAAAACATCTTCCCGATAATAAATCTTACATACCATATTAAAATAAAACGTTAATAACATAAAGTAAACTAACACATAAAGGTATGTCTATACATTCGAATCCCAAACAATCAGTACCAATAACTAGATCACATGAGTCCTGTCTGATTCTTATGGTTGTTTCATCTTCAAAACCAAGGGCATCCATTATTGACTAGGGATATCAAGAAAATCGACATATATGTCTCAAATACCTCTTGAAATTCTAACCGTCTTTGAAACTTCGAGGAGTAAACATAAACCATACCAAAGGTTGTCTTCCTTGCACTGGGACGATTTGTATAAAATAAAGGATCTTCAAAATACCTCGTTTAATTAAATTTGTAAGTGCTTCATATATATTTGTTTTTTTACATACATCCAGACAGTTCGAAATATGGTGAGGAAAAGCAGTACAACTCGAGAAAACTAGAGGCAAAATCATATGAAGTACTTAAACGTACTTAAACAGATGGCTAAAGTAATTTATGGACGAACCAATCAGATTTAGGATTGCAGGTCTTGAACTTTTGGCGCGAGATTCATCCACTTATTCTGTAACGGAATTGAAATTGTCATGTATGATGTACTAACAGATTCTATTTTCTTTCTATTGCAGGGCGACCAAACATAAACTCTTTGGAGGAAGAAAAGCAAGCCCTATGTACACTAAGCTTACAGGATGACTCATAAGACTACTTTGTAAACTGACTTTTCCCGCTATACTCTCGCGCACCGTGCTTTTTCACTTTGAAACAAAGAGGCTAGTGATTCCCATTGTGTTCTCTCATGGTGTGAAGTCCTCGTTCAACATTGTGTGCTGTGCTGATTTTCAGATCTGTCCTGCTGTTTTCTAACCGCTGATTCTACGTGTTACAATTCGGCATTATAGCTGATGTCGTGATGAAAATGTTAAACATTATATTCAATCTTACCATTCAACTGTAAATTCAAATCCTAGTTCCTTTCACTGACTTATAGCCCTCATTTAACCCTAGTAAGCAGGACATTTTCAAGGTCATTTTGGCATTGCTCAAAAGTTATCCATAAATTATAGTCTCACCATCAACTGACAAGTAATTTGTTCTGGGCTTGTGGACCTTTTTGGAGTTTCCTCGTAAATTCTCTGTTTTGGAAGAAAAGAAAAGTGATAATGTATCATAGGAAAATTTAACAGCAAGTAATTTGAAAACTGTAATCAAGTCACTTATAGTTCTTTGATTTGACATTGAGAACAGGTCTAGTTTGGCCAGTCGAGCATGATACGAGAGCTTCGCTGTTCCGGGAATCAGCTTAGTTGCGCTTCTTTGGGCCTTTTTCAACAAGTTAATGTCTCTTTTTAGGTAGGAACTAGCCGCTTCTAACTCCGCCTGTAGTCCCTCCGTGGGCTACTGCCGGTCCCAAGCCCTGATAAAGGAGGAGGGTTGAGTATGAGGATAGCGACCCCGTCCCATAGAAAACTACCTCGCTAAAAAACGCTCACCAGAAAAAAATTATTCAAACCATTTAACCTCTGCCCCGGGATTTGGAAGAGCTTCATTTAAGAGTTATGACGCTCGTAGTGAAAGCCGAGTTCCTTCGGAATCCACGAGGTCTATGCCCCTTCTTACAGCCAGAGCAACCAATCATCTAGGCACATGAGATGCTTGTACAGTGTAGGAGACCGGGAGAGTTCCAAATTGCTGCAGAAATGAAAATAATACAACCTAGAGGTGCTTGAGATCAATGAAACACATCCGACGCAGGTTGAACAACAATGACTATCTTCAGGAGAGCCTCTGTTATACTCCAGCCATAAAGAAGAAAATGCCCTGCATGCGCAAGGAGTTGCATTTGTGTTTTCCAAACAAGCACAAGAGGCATGTGGGATTTAATTTGTCCTACATATATACTACTAGAACTGTAAACGCGATACTGGCGATCACAGAGTCTATGTGAAGGCTATAATCAGAACAAGGACAACCTGGCTTTAAACTTTATCTGTATCTAAACATGTAAATAATTAGATTAGTACAGTAACCATGGGCCACAAGGAATGGATCACTGTTGGTACATTGGGTAAGATTGAAAAAAAGGAGGAACAAGAAGGCAGCAATCAATACCAGCCGAACAAGAGCAGAAAAAGCCAAGGTACAAGCCTAATACACAGAAGTAAACAAGCAAGTGAAGTGAAGCATCAGAACCGACGAACGTGAATATGTGGAAGACTTAGCAGTGACAGCGGAAAAGGCTGTGGGAGAAGTAAACATGAAACAACTGTATGACACAACAAAGAAACTTGCTGGAAATTACAGTAAGCCAGAATGACCGGTGAAAAGCAGGGAGGGTAAGGTAATCACAAACATCGAAGAACAACAAAACAGATGGGTAGAACACTTCAAAGAACTCTTGAATCAACCAGCTCCATTGAACCCACCCAACACTGAAGCGGCACCCATGGACCACAGGTGTTTATTAACAGTTGTTTACATCCGTTGGCCGGACACTATCAGCAACAACCTACTGTGGGTGAGAACAAACCAGATTTCATTCGGCGAAGGAAGAAATTAGGAAGAAGCACTGGGAATGGATAGGACACACATTGAGGAAATCACCCAACTGCTTCACAAGACAAGTCCTTACATGGAATCCTGAAGGCTAAAGGAGGAGAGGAAGATCAAAGAACACATTACGCCGAGAAATGGAGACAGAGATGAGAAGAATGAACAAAAGTTGGATACGACTAGGAAGGGACGGCCATGACAGGGTGGGTTGTAGAATGCTGGTCTGCAGCCTGTGCTTCATTGGGAGTAACAGGCGTAAGTAATTAAGTGGCCGCTTTTATGCAGTACTCATGTTTAGGACGAACGGACGCTGTGTACAAAGTCAAAAAGTTTTTAGCATCAACATGGCTTTAAGCCCCACGTGTTCACCATTAAGTTCTAAGACCTATGGCGTGCTGTATTATTTAAGCATTGGCTAACGATGATTGCTTGGTAATTAAGTCTGGACAACAGGTAGCTCGGTGTTTTTCACCATGTAGGTACCTTGGTGATCAATATACATAATGCACCTGTAAGCATTTGCACGCTACTGCCATATTTGAAACCATTAAGATAATTTCCCCAGGTTATTTTGATGCTCTAATCTACCACCTTGACGTCTTATAGCTCTCCATATCTTGACATCGCGAGAATATGACGAAACCGATGATGATGGGAGAATAGGAAGGTCATTTGTACACAAGATGAACGACACATGCCCCCCCCTGAACTACTCCGCTAAGTACAGTTTCCCAGCTAGAAAAAGTTACGTTCACCCGTATTCTTTGTTGACGCCCAACTAGGAAGTCTTTCATTCATATGGATAGGTTGTCTCCAACCCCGACATTTCCTAACTTATGTAACAGCCAGTTGAGAGGAACTTTGTCGCAAGCTGTGCTTAAGTCAATGTAGGCTATTTATATAGGAAACTTCTGGTCCTTAAGAGCGCACCAGCTTTCGCGATCCACTAATAAGTTAGTGAAACTGGAATAATGTATTCTAAAACCATGCTGATCCGGTTTTCAAATGCCTTTATTTTGAATTATCGCCCGAGGTTGTAAGTGTAGAATAGTTTAACTGTTGGGTTGTAAATAAGCAAGCATCCGCAACAAAATATTCACTGGGAGGATAAAAAACTGGCTACAGCATCTGGGAATCATGAGAATCAAACGAAGCCTATACTAAAACTCGTCAGATCATATTTCCATGTTCGCTTAATTCCTACTCTCTTGCTCTAGCGACATATAGTTTGAAATCATTTTACAGTACTTTTGGTTGGGCACGAGCGTAAGATAAAGGTACGTTTTTGATTGAAATTACCTCTGTTTTGCTACCAGCAACAATCTGTTGGCTTCATTCGCAAATGAAAACTACTTCTTTCAACAGATTTCAGTATAAATCCAGGTGTGCATCGAATTAGGATCAGTTAAGAAGAATAACGGTATGACAGTAACGAAAATATTTGCGGACAATATTATAGTGTCTTAAATTATGTGGGTTTCCACATAACCCAAAGTCGAAGAGTCAATGGCAAAATATATTGACAGTCTTCGAAATTATTATTATAAAGAAAACGAGGCCGTTTTGCAATATATCGATAGACTGAACCATCAAATATGTTCCCGAACAGTTAGTATCGGTCCTACCTACAGTAATGATGATAGATCAGAGTGTGGGGTCATCGATGTTACTGTGTGGGTACTCCTACTGGATATTGGAGATATCCCACAGTGTTTTTATGGAATAGGGAGCATTAATCATATATACAACCTGAACAATTGACCGATTTTTATAAATCATATGTAGCAGTGCCGTTATCAAGACTTTTGTAATGGACTGTGAGTACGTTTATCCATACAACTTATCAACAAGCCAATATTATGTTGAGCGATTTTTAGTGGTTGCTCTGCCTTCGGAATCTAAAAAATCCGTGCAAAATCACACAGAAGGAATATATCTGGATGGAATTATAGTGACCGAGACGATCAGATGAGAATGCCTGTAATAAAGTTAAAGATGCCACAAGTATTCGGAGTTTAACGACGTCTTAACGCGTAACACCATTATGATCAAGGTATGCCAAGCCAGTCGAATCAGAAATCAGGAATAAGGACGTTCGAAGATATGTTTGGAAAGCTATCAATATGTCAGGAAGCGTTTGGTCTATGCTGTCTAACAGTTGTAGATAATGCGTATCAGGGCGTCAACACTCGTGATTTGGTGTGTATGCGTGACCAAGTGCCCTCAGCCATATGTATCAGGCAAAACTAACGAGTTCATCATCAGTGTCAAAGACACATAACCATTTGATTGGGAGACTTTTTGCAGCTTCATAGTTGTTTCGTAGAGATTGTTGACGGTGAGTACCTTAGAGTTGAACAGGAATAATGTGTATTGTCTAACTTACGTCAAAATCGCATCTCGTGATTGGTACTTATTCTGAATTACCCTATGGTGTCAGACCAATGATGCTTCTTTTATGAGTGTATAGAATAAATAAAATTTCACAAAAGGGGTTTTGTACTTTAGGCTTATCATGTCAGAGGAGTACAGAGTACGGTCACACTACCATACGAGCAGATCAAATCCATGTATTCATTATTCTGCAACAGGTTTCCTTGACTCCGTAGATATTAAGCATATAATTTAACGTTCACTGATCAGTCCTTTAACTTGTAAGCGGCCTGCTTTGATGAATGATCTAGATAGTACCCTTCCTGTTAATAGGTATCTTAGGGTCTCCC